TTATCCCTCTTAACAAGCGATTTCCAAGGACCCTCTATACTAATAAGCCCAGACAACCGAGCTAACTCGGTTTCCTAGATCTCGAAACATTCAGTTTCGATATATAGCCAACTTTTGTAAAGTATAAGTCACAAGTGTGATATGTTAGCGCACATAGAATGTTTGTAACCGGCTAATGATATTTACTGTTTCTAATGAAGCCTATTTGCCAAACGCAATCGACCATGGAACTGCGTTTCAGTTCAGCGAAATCAGACAGCTACGCCGGTTTGGAGGGTTTTATCTTTTACGTGTCTCAACGTCGAAAAGAAGCTCTAAACGAATGCAGCTGTCTCTAATTGTTGGAATTGCCTTCGGCTTCTGATTGGTTTTAGATTTGCCGATTTCCGGATGATCCGGATTTCCGCATTTCCGGTTTTCCCTATCTCCGGGTTTAAACATTTCCGGTTTACGTGTCAACCTGCATTTGACCTTGCAGAGCAGGTTGAATAGAAGGTTTATTCGAGGTTGTAGCTCTGAAATCTCAATTTTCTGATCCAAAATGAGACCTGCCTAGTTGATTTTCTGATTCTCGAGCAAACTTTCACCTCTGAACGGTTGTTTTACCGAGCTATTAAGCTCGAAACGTGACACAGTTTCACCTGTTTTGAGCTTCGGATTGTTAGCATGGGATTCAAAAATGGCAGCATACCAGCAGTTTCTAAAGCACATTTACTGGAATTTTATGGAGTCCGGCATCTCAGGGATTGGAATATGGCTCAATTTGTGAGTCAGCAGTGCCAGTAATGAATTAGGTAAGCCGTACTTTTGACAAAATCTGCTTGAGGTAGATCCCGTACGCTAAATCTGAAAATACCGTATTAGCTCGCATACGTGTTAATACAAAGGGTCATAACTTTTAAAATACTGAAGTCGTACATGGGGTTTTTTATATTATTACTAACAAATGGTCTATCTTTGCGTCTATTTAGTCTAGAGCTTTCAACTATGTCCCAAAAGTCAGAAATAAGCTTCTAAAACAGGGTAATTTTTGGCCTTTCGCTTCAAGGCAATTAGTTGGGGTCATATTTTGCTTGATTTCGTCTTTCCAGCTAAATTTAGCGGATAACTATTACTTTCAGGAAAACCTAGAGATGTTTACCTAGAAATAGGTATAAAATTAATTAAAATAGGTATTAAAATTAGATGGTGCAAATCAAACTTTTTACAGCGCCGCAAAAAATGCCAAATTTTCAGTTTTCAAGACGTGCAAAATGGTCGTGACGGGACAAAATACTCGGCGCCCCCCAGCGCGGCCAGAAAATTATTGTGAATCAAAGCAAACCTATTTTAGTTATAGTCTCGATAAAGCCTTTCACTCGCCAGAGTTTCAGGCAAAATAATTTTTCACGCGAAATTGAGTGGGCGGTTTTTACTGAGACAGCCTCTTAAAGATCTGTAAGCTTATATAAACCTGATACTCGGTCAGATCATTGTCTCAAATCTTACAAACGTGCGTAAACAAAATAGCCGCATAAACTACGCTCGACTTCATTAAATTAGAAATAAATAAAAAAAACATTAAATACAATAATTACTCAGGCTTACCACTCGAGATGAAGCTCCTTAAAGGTATGAAGTAAGGCCAGTATCGCTTCAGACTTTGAAACCCTCTTACGCATTAAGCAAGGTGAAAACGAAAACGATGCCATCCGAAATCGGATTTCCAACTTTGGCAAGTGACGTACTTCTCAACCAAAAACCCAATAAACAAACTAGCCATAAATAACAGAAGACTTCCGATAGCAGCTGAATTTCATTTTGTACATCCAGTGGAAAAAGACAGTAAAAACATCACAAGTTGACACAAAACTCTGTCGGCTTCAGCTGTCAAAGTAAACAAGATTCAAGATGCTGCATAAATTTTTCGCATGAACTCACCTGTCAAATTTTGACCAATCAGAGCATAAAAATTGGACGTAGAACGTGACCAACGCGTGAACATGGTGAGAAAAGTCAAAAGCAACTGTCTTCCCTGCCTGTAGCAGCTGACTGAATTTTCGCGTCCGAGGTCAGTTTGAAATCAAAATTTTAATTGTGCGGCACATAAACACAACATATTTCATATGATTTTTTTCAAAAAAAATTAAACTTGAGCCTGCGATCATTTGAAAACCAGTACCATGTCAGCGGATAACTTCAAAAAAATACTTGACCTCGATCGGTCGACACCTGAGCCCGCGATTCGCTCAAGTGATACTGGTCAGCGGATACCTTGTTTTGACAGCTGTCAATTGATCACAACATTGATGTCCATTTCCCGTGCTCCGATCCCAAACTAGCTAAAAAGTATGATTGAACATTGTTCGCGATCTAGTAAAACGATTAACTGGTCAGCGGACAGCTTCCAAATAAATCACGTCACCTCGATAAGTTGACACATGAGCCCGCGATATGGTCATGGGATACTGGTCAGTGGCTATCCTGTTTTGACAGCTGTCAATTGACTATATTGTGAGTGTCATATATAAAAGATGAGGACTTGCCAAGACACGCCTGAGACACCCCTCCCTCCCTTTTGATAGTCTTCCCTACCCTACCCGTACAATCTGTAGACGCGTACGTACGTACGCTCGGTCAGTCACGTGACAACCAAGCGAAAAGAGGTTGACCATATTCCATGAGTATGGGGCTCTGTCCCACGCGCGCTTCGCGCGGGAGCCCCGCTATGAAGGCATTACACATGAGGGACACAAAACGGATCAAAATTTCGCCAGACAAGCCAAATTGCAAATTTGTTGTAAAAAAATGTCCAGGGGAATTTGAAGATGAATTAATGTGGGTTGTCACGGAATTAAAAAAAAACAAATCTTCATTTTCAAGAACAATAATTTACTGCCGATCACTGTCAAGTTGCGGACAAACACGAACTGGATGGTTCTCTCAGTGGTATGTACACAATGTATCATTCAAAGCAAAATTTCTGCATTTCCAGGTCAATATTCGACATTAAAATGTCCTTTATGTCGGTCCTTGCTTTTGAATTCCACAAAACTTTGCATGCAGCTTTTGGCAAGTCGAGTGCAAGATATTTTACAGCCTCTGCAAATGCACCACTCAAAACCGTTTGCTTTGGTCCTGAGGCATACTGGATACCAACCTAAAAAGTAACAAAGGCGCTATGATAAGCTATCTCATAATTATTAAGTAAAATATATAGAGGATATTACACAGTGGCGAGAAGATAAGAATTTTATGTTCGAGTGGCAAGAACAATATCTCACGAGTGAGCGAAGCGAACGAGTAAGATATTGTTCTTGCCACGAGAACATAAAATTCATATCTTCTCGCCAACGTGTAATGTTCTTTTTATTATATGGAGAAACCAATTAAACAAAAGCAAAAGGCGGGAATCGTGACGTCATTGAACGATACGACACTCACAAAGGTGACATACGGAAAATGCGCCACTCGGGTCCCGGATGAAGTGGCGTATGGAATCTACGAGTGGTTTAGTTCCCAGTAAAACACTCTCCTCCATATAATAAAAGAAATTATGCGCAACTTTTTTATATAAATCACCTCACCTTGATTTCGTCCTTGCTTATGTCTGGTTTGTTTTCACAAGTGTTTTCACTCGGCGCTGAACCAGTGTACCTAGGAAATGAGTTTTCTTTCTCTTCCTCGTATTCAAGAGGAAATCAGCTAATGTCCTCTTGCGTTTGGCAACAGTTGCTGGCGAATAAAACGGTTCTTGTACAGTTTTTTCCCGGTTCATTTGCATCGAAATTTGAGATGACACAAATCCTTTTTGTGCGCCGATTTTGTGGGCTGTCTTTTGCAAGTCGCTTGATGCTGGCTGTGGTTTCATGATTCTTTAATACTGTGCTGTTGTAAGTCGCTTGAAATTCTTCCAGTACGCTTTTTTTATTCTTGATGAGCACCAGTCGCCTGAAACAGCTGTTGCAAACCCGCCTTTGATCGTCTTTTACGAATGGAAATTGTACTGTTGTCTGGAGTATTGCGCTCAAGGCGCTCAACAGTTCAGGACGCGACAAGGTGTAAAAGCTCTCAATCCTTAGAATAATTCCGCAAACTAGGCAATAGTTCGAGGAACTAGGTGTAGATTCTTTTCTTTACCGGTGTTTTAGGGGAAAAATTGGGGTTGACCAGCCGCTTTGGGGAACCCGGCGGCGTTGTACAACTCATGATTTTCTGTCAACTCCAACCGAACCCGGCCGGGCGCGCATAAGTCATAATTTTCCCGCGAATCAAGAGGAAGTGACGTAATTTGACATTTGACGTAGGCGTCACGTGCACGCGCATGCTCGATGGAAAATCAAACGGTTGCTCGCAGTGGTTTCTCTCCCGAAGCGTCCGGCCTGGAGAAACCACTGCTCGCAGGGTACCTGGACAACAGCGCGCTTATATTGTATGTAGTGTTTGTAGGATTGCACTCACCTCAGTAAAGTCTAAACAAAGTGCCGAAACATTTGATAATGTAAGTAAACACTTTTAATTTTATTTGTTTTAAAATGGGGAAAGGAACACATATATTAAAAAAAAAAACATAGCAAATTTCAGCGAGCGGGTTCAAAGTGCACAAAAGCTGGTGTTCAGTTCAGCAGTGAGTTAATATATGTTCTACAATTTTCCCAGCACTTTAAAGCTACAAAATGAAGAGCACACAAGACAGACATTTAGATTAGTCACCTGGTGAGATGTTGGTGGTATTTACTCTGTGTGTCTCAAGCAACAAAACAATGAATATCAATGAGATACAGTCAAAACTGCAATCAATAGGACTGATTTTGATGAACCAAACGGCTAAAAGCAAATCCCTCAGTCTAACCCTAAACCTAACCCATACTATACACCTTCTTCTTCAATATGAACGAATTGGACCTCTACCGAACAATGCCGTTCTTCTCACCCTTGATGTCTCTTCACTATACATTAACATTCCTCATAACAAAGGCATTAAAGCCTGCCGCCATTTCCTTAACACCCGTCAAAGCAAAACAATACGAAGGAAAGAACGAAGGAATACACAATACACAAAAGATCGCACGCCATTTCTTATCACCTTCAACCCCGCTCTTCGTAAAATATTTTCAGTTCTAAAAAAACACCTTAACATCCTTCAGTCCTCCCTTGCCTAGTCCCTATACGGCGTCTTTCCAGGCCCTCTTGGTCAGTGCATTTCGGTGACGTATCCGAGACGAACGGCCGGGAGACGCCTAGACAATCTCGGAGTGCGCATGCGTGAGCATTTTTTTTTTTTTTTGGTATTTTTGAAAAGTTCACACGTTCAACTGAAATAATCTATAAATAACTTTGCGTGTGAATATCCTTCGCTTAAAGATCGGGACTATTGACACTATTACAAAAAGAACCAACCTGGTTTCTGTTATTAAAGAACAAAAATATTACTTTGAATCGGAAAGAATACTACTGTATAACGTGCAAGTAATTTCTCTTTTAGTTCATTTTCAAATGAACCATTAAAATGATATTTTTTTATTGATAAAAAGATTTGAGACAGTAGTTTGTTGAAATTCTACCAAATTTAGAGATTAGTTTGATAAGCTTCCAAATCCAAAAATTAAATTTCATAAAATATTTCAAAGTAAAATGATAACGAGAAATTTATGGGAGCAAGCGAAAATAGAGAAACGAAAGATAGCTTTTCATATCCAAGACTAAATATAAACTTACCTTCCGATTCTTGATCAAATATTTTTTTTGCGACCCTGTTTCGCTTAGCCTACAAATAGTTTTTGAGATGAAATAAAGTTCAAATTAGTTTAATAATGAGATAAATGAAAAAGAAAGGCCAAAGGACTTTCAACAATGAATACGTGCATAGAATAAAAATGCTCGGTTTACCTCTTTATCTTCTGTAACCTCCATGGCTGCTGGACATCTTTTATCAGCGCGGAAAAGTTATTGACAGGTCGCCCGATTCCAAAAGCTCCGCCGCAAGTGAGACAAAATGTCTCACTTCTCCGAGTTTGTCTTAGCCTCAAAAACTTTCTCGGACCAGGTGACCCGAAACGCATCGGCCGCGCGTAATAATGAGGCCTAGGGACTAGGCAAAGTCCTCCCCTAACTGCAAAGACGTCTTCCCTTTTCCGCCAGTTACTGTTTACAGACGTCACGCAAGCCTTCGTGACCTTTTGGTACACTTCACGCTCCACAACAGCACATTTCACGCGCAACAACCTGCCGGAGTTTTTAAATGCAACCATCCACGCTGTCTCACCTGTCATTTCCTCCAGGAAGGAGAAACAAATTACGTCTTTACCGCAGCTAAAGAACAAAGAAAAATCACTGACCACTTATCCTGCAAATCCAAAAATCTTATCTACTTAATTAGATTTAATAAATGTGAATGTTAGCACATCGGAGAGACTAAACGCCAACTTAACGAACGATTTGGAGAACACCGCCGATCAAATTTCACCATCATCACGATTAGGTTAGTAAAAGCCGGTTAGGCAAAACACCAACCACTTAGAAAATATGAAAATAAAAATTACATGTGATAATAAATAGAATAAAAATAATTAGTATATACTAAAACAGTGAACAGTGTTTTTCGCGCGCTCTGATTGGCTACTCAATCAGTGAATATCCTGCACGATTCGGTGATTCACCTCCAGTTCCTCCGAGCGAGCGACGCCAAACTCGCTAAGTTGCCAGCAGAATGCCTTCCCGGTTTGCTGCCTTAACAAACAAAGAAATTTCACAAATAATCAAACAAGCTGTTCCCGAAATACACGAAGAAGGTGACGAAGTTTGGTTTGGAAGTTTGAACAGGTAAAGCTTGGTCTTTTTGACTTGAATTTATCGATGAAACCGGTGAAAAAGTTTTTTGTTTACAAATGCAAATTAAGCTTAAGTCTCGCGTTACTTCATTTAGTTGACTTGTTCATAAATAAGCTTAAAACTAAATTTAATAATCTTTTTTACAGAATGATTTAAATGCAAAAAGAATTCACAACTCCTTTTGAAGAAATTTCCCTGCAAGAGCTAAACAAATGCCGTCAAAAGTTTTATTTGTCAGCAAGAATAATAATAATAATAATAATAACAACTTTATTTCTATAGCGCTCTTATCCTATGTTCAAGGCGCTTTACAGTCATGTAAACAACATTATTGAAAAATATTTACAAATTATAACCATATCCTATTATATTTACAATGAGTAAAAAAGGAAAAAATTAAAACTAAAGCAACTATTAAACCATATTCATGATGATAAGAAAAAGGGAAAATTAAAACTAACGCAATATATACAAATCTATAAAAACAATGATCCGTTATTACTGAATTTAGTAAACAAGTACGTCTTAAGTGATCTTTTAAAACTCAAGATGGTGTTGGACTTCCAAATTTCATAGGGTATTGAGTTCCATTGTCTTGGTGCATGAACAGCGAATGCTCTATCTCCGTAGGTCTTGGTATACGATCTAGGTTGCATTAAAAAGTTCATTACTAACAGACCTCAATGATCTAGTATGAGAACGATAATGTAGTTTCTGAGCTAAATAGCTAGGTGATGTCCCATTCAGTGATTTATACACGAGGAGCAGAATCTTGAAAATAATACGATATTGAATCGGTAGCCAGTGAAGCTCACACAAAACAGGTGTGATATGCTGAAACTTACTTACTTGCAACACAACTCTAAGATATTGTTCTTGCCACGAGAACATAAAATTCATATCTTCTCGCCAACGTGTAATGTTCTTTTTATTATATGGAGAAACCAATTAAACAAAAGCAAAAGGCGGGAATCGTGACGTCATTGAACGATACGACACTCACAAAGGTGACATACGGAAAATGCGCCACTCGGGTCCCGGATGAAGTGGCGTATGGAATCTACGAGTGGTTTAGTTCCCAGTAAAACACTCTCCTCCATATAATAAAAGAAATTATGCGCAACTTTTTTATATAAATCACCTCACCTTGATTTCGTCCTTGCTTATGTCTGGTTTGTTTTCACAAGTGTTTTCACTCGGCGCTGAACCAGTGTACCTAGGAAATGAGTTTTCTTTCTCTTCCTCGTATTCAAGAGGAAATCAGCTAATGTCCTCTTGCGTTTGGCAACAGTTGCTGGCGAATAAAACGGTTCTTGTACAGTTTTTTCCCGGTTCATTTGCATCGAAATTTGAGATGACACAAATCCTTTTTGTGCGCCGATTTTGTGGGCTGTCTTTTGCAAGTCGCTTGATGCTGGCTGTGGTTTCATGATTCTTTAATACTGTGCTGTTGTAAGTCGCTTGAAATTCTTCCAGTACGCTTTTTTTATTCTTGATGAGCACCAGTCGCCTGAAACAGCTGTTGCAAACCCGCCTTTGATCGTCTTTTACGAATGGAAATTGTACTGTTGTCTGGAGTATTGCGCTCAAGGCGCTCAACAGTTCAGGACGCGACAAGGTGTAAAAGCTCTCAATCCTTAGAATAATTCCGCAAACTAGGCAATAGTTCGAGGAACTAGGTGTAGATTCTTTTCTTTACCGGTGTTTTAGGGGAAAAATTGGGGTTGACCAGCCGCTTTGGGGAACCCGGCGGCGTTGTACAACTCATGATTTTCTGTCAACTCCAACCGAACCCGGCCGGGCGCGCATAAGTCATAATTTTCCCGCGAATCAAGAGGAAGTGACGTAATTTGACATTTGACGTAGGCGTCACGTGCACGCGCATGCTCGATGGAAAATCAAACGGTTGCTCGCAGTGGTTTCTCTCCCGAAGCGTCCGGCCTGGAGAAACCACTGCTCGCAGGGTACCTGGACAACAGCGCGCTTATATTGTATGTAGTGTTTGTAGGATTGCACTCACCTCAGTAAAGTCTAAACAAAGTGCCGAAACATTTGATAATGTAAGTAAACACTTTTAATTTTATTTGTTTTAAAATGGGGAAAGGAACACATATATTAAAAAAAAAAACATAGCAAATTTCAGCGAGCGGGTTCAAAGTGCACAAAAGCTGGTGTTCAGTTCAGCAGTGAGTTAATATATGTTCTACAATTTTCCCAGCACTTTAAAGCTACAAAATGAAGAGCACACAAGACAGACATTTAGATTAGTCACCTGGTGAGATGTTGGTGGTATTTACTCTGTGTGTCTCAAGCAACAAAACAATGAATATCAATGAGATACAGTCAAAACTGCAATCAATAGGACTGATTTTGATGAACCAAACGGCTAAAAGCAAATCCCTCAGTCTAACCCTAAACCTAACCCATACTATACACCTTCTTCTTCAATATGAACGAATTGGACCTCTACCGAACAATGCCGTTCTTCTCACCCTTGATGTCTCTTCACTATACATTAACATTCCTCATAACAAAGGCATTAAAGCCTGCCGCCATTTCCTTAACACCCGTCAAAGCAAAACAATACGAAGGAAAGAACGAAGGAATACACAATACACAAAAGATCGCACGCCATTTCTTATCACCTTCAACCCCGCTCTTCGTAAAATATTTTCAGTTCTAAAAAAACACCTTAACATCCTTCAGTCCTCCCTTGCCTAGTCCCTATACGGCGTCTTTCCAGGCCCTCTTGGTCAGTGCATTTCGGTGACGTATCCGAGACGAACGGCCGGGAGACGCCTAGACAATCTCGGAGTGCGCATGCGTGAGCATTTTTTTTTTTTTTTGGTATTTTTGAAAAGTTCACACGTTCAACTGAAATAATCTATAAATAACTTTGCGTGTGAATATCCTTCGCTTAAAGATCGGGACTATTGACACTATTACAAAAAGAACCAACCTGGTTTCTGTTATTAAAGAACAAAAATATTACTTTGAATCGGAAAGAATACTACTGTATAACGTGCAAGTAATTTCTCTTTTAGTTCATTTTCAAATGAACCATTAAAATGATATTTTTTTATTGATAAAAAGATTTGAGACAGTAGTTTGTTGAAATTCTACCAAATTTAGAGATTAGTTTGATAAGCTTCCAAATCCAAAAATTAAATTTCATAAAATATTTCAAAGTAAAATGATAACGAGAAATTTATGGGAGCAAGCGAAAATAGAGAAACGAAAGATAGCTTTTCATATCCAAGACTAAATATAAACTTACCTTCCGATTCTTGATCAAATATTTTTTTTGCGACCCTGTTTCGCTTAGCCTACAAATAGTTTTTGAGATGAAATAAAGTTCAAATTAGTTTAATAATGAGATAAATGAAAAAGAAAGGCCAAAGGACTTTCAACAATGAATACGTGCATAGAATAAAAATGCTCGGTTTACCTCTTTATCTTCTGTAACCTCCATGGCTGCTGGACATCTTTTATCAGCGCGGAAAAGTTATTGACAGGTCGCCCGATTCCAAAAGCTCCGCCGCAAGTGAGACAAAATGTCTCACTTCTCCGAGTTTGTCTTAGCCTCAAAAACTTTCTCGGACCAGGTGACCCGAAACGCATCGGCCGCGCGTAATAATGAGGCCTAGGGACTAGGCAAAGTCCTCCCCTAACTGCAAAGACGTCTTCCCTTTTCCGCCAGTTACTGTTTACAGACGTCACGCAAGCCTTCGTGACCTTTTGGTACACTTCACGCTCCACAACAGCACATTTCACGCGCAACAACCTGCCGGAGTTTTTAAATGCAACCATCCACGCTGTCTCACCTGTCATTTCCTCCAGGAAGGAGAAACAAATTACGTCTTTACCGCAGCTAAAGAACAAAGAAAAATCACTGACCACTTATCCTGCAAATCCAAAAATCTTATCTACTTAATTAGATTTAATAAATGTGAATGTTAGCACATCGGAGAGACTAAACGCCAACTTAACGAACGATTTGGAGAACACCGCCGATCAAATTTCACCATCATCACGATTAGGTTAGTAAAAGCCGGTTAGGCAAAACACCAACCACTTAGAAAATATGAAAATAAAAATTACATGTGATAATAAATAGAATAAAAATAATTAGTATATACTAAAACAGTGAACAGTGTTTTTCGCGCGCTCTGATTGGCTACTCAATCAGTGAATATCCTGCACGATTCGGTGATTCACCTCCAGTTCCTCCGAGCGAGCGACGCCAAACTCGCTAAGTTGCCAGCAGAATGCCTTCCCGGTTTGCTGCCTTAACAAACAAAGAAATTTCACAAATAATCAAACAAGCTGTTCCCGAAATACACGAAGAAGGTGACGAAGTTTGGTTTGGAAGTTTGAACAGGTAAAGCTTGGTCTTTTTGACTTGAATTTATCGATGAAACCGGTGAAAAAGTTTTTTGTTTACAAATGCAAATTAAGCTTAAGTCTCGCGTTACTTCATTTAGTTGACTTGTTCATAAATAAGCTTAAAACTAAATTTAATAATCTTTTTTACAGAATGATTT